TCCCTTACCCCCACATCCCCGCAACCCCCCCCCCCCGTATCAATCCTCTTTTCGCGCGCGGCGAACACGTGCGGTGACTACCGCAGCATTTTCCTTTTGGCGCGTCTCTTGCACATCTCCATTCATCCTGTGCTCCTGCACCCGTGTCCTCATGGCAAACCTCACCGCGGCAAAGAGGATGACCGCAGCAGTCAGTACGTATAACCACCACATCCCTACCTCTGAATAAGAAAAATAAAAAAGACAAGAAAGTAAGTAAGAAAAAAAAAAAAAACAAAGCTTACATCCCATCCAATGTTATACGACCGGATGCTGTCGAGATGGGAGCAGCAAAAAGGAAAAAAAAAATATGGGGAAAACTCCACCAGGCATGTAACAAACACGACGCATGCATAAAAGTTATACGGAGAATAAAATGTTACATGCGCAGATAGAAAAGACATGACTCTTGTCAACGTTAAAAATAAACAAACCACCGACCTCCTCTTTTTCCTGCCTTCTGTTGTGTTTGCAGATTTCTGTTTGGGGCTTTCTTATTCCCCTGAGGCTATTTTTTTTCCTTTTGGGTGGGGGGTTGGGTTGGGACTCGTCCGTTGAAACCATCTTTTCCCCAAAATTCCAAAACAAATCCCCCTCTCGTTCCGTTTCATCACCCGTTACCGTAAAGGTGTTGATGTGAGCGTTGACATTTCCCCTTCCTGACAAGGACGGCTACGAGTAGGATGTGGGAGGCCTTCCGACCTCCACCAGCCAGTCATTAAGCAACGCAATCTCCACCAGTGCCTTGCAGCACATCTCCTCCCAGGATGCAAAGGCAGTGGACCACCCAGGAATGCGGCGCATTTCCCACTGAACATTAGCCACGGTGTTATTCGTGAATTTGCCAATGGCACAGAGTGCCGCTGCGGCTGCAGCATTTATATCTGATTCACTGTGTGCCATCCCAATGGCCGGAGCATCTTCCAATTCATTCGTAGTCTCGTTTGCCGTATCATTTGGCGTAGGCACCACCCCTGACCAATAAAAAGAGTTCGGGCTCTGTTCTACAGCTGCCAAATGAGCCGGCCCAGTATCCCCCTCCTCCTCCTTCTCCTCTTTTTCGTCTTCATCCCTCTTCTTCTCCTGCCAGTCAAGCGCGGCTTTGGCTAATAATACGGCTGGTAATGTCAGGGCGTATGACTCACTGGGGGAATCACCAAATCCGCTGCTTACTCCACTCTTTGACTCGTGCTGTCGTCTTCGATGCATCGGCTGTCTCTCTTGTTGCGTATGCGGCTGCTTCTTTCGAAGACGATAAAACTCTTCCTCAACTAGTAACATGCGTTGGCCAATGATGCGACGTGAGGCATGTTTCCAATTGCTCACCACCGAATAAAAGGCTCTTGTCGTATTATATTTGCTGTTGAGCTGACATGGACGCAAAATTCGTACGTAGTTGTGCAACTCAAGATGCTGCAGTGCCTCCAGTACGATAAACTCCAATTCACCATACCAGTGCTGCCCCCCTTCATGGCTGCCTATCCCCACGTCATCCGCACTCCGTTCGTGAGGTACAAGGAAAGTGACCAATGACGTTGGTCCCTTTGACACTGTCACAACTGGACTCATGCCGGAGCGCGACTCCTGGGAAAGCGGAGAGGGTACGCGCGTTTCGGTACCGTGGGTGGAGGAGAGAATACCAATCACGGACGGCAGTGCCGCGCTTGTAGCGCGCAAATTTGGACTCGCAAAAGAACATCCTGCTGCATTTTTGACACGAGGCGACAATGCCCACGCCGCTGCAGCGAGGGATGACGCCGGCGGATGTGGACTGCTCAGCGGCGACAGGACACGGGATTCTTTTTGTGTCTCCTCTCCAGGCGGCTCATGCCCCACCGCGAGAAGCTGCACAATGCTTGCAATGGTACGGTAGCCATCTACTGCCTTGTAGACGTCCTGAATAGCCAAGTCCGCCCACTCTAACATCTCTGCCGTGTACTCCACAATGGGAATAGGCACCTCATCCAGTGTGTGATACCGTAAGACGTACGGTTGGGTCATGCGGCAAACGTGATAGGAATGCGTCTGGGATAGCCGCACAGTTACCTTACGCTCCTCCACCGGCTGACACAATTCTTCCTCTTGCTGCTGTTGCTGTTCCTCTTCGTCCTTAATCGTCGTGTGCAACCCGTTTTCATGCGCTCCTGGAGTCTCCCCTTTTCTGGGAGCCCGTCTTATTCTTGGCGTCTCCTGTCGTTCTTCACGGCTGAGGCAGGCGTAGAGGGTCGCGATCATCTCCTCCAGCGGGGTCCACTGCAACGATGCTGGATCCTGCAGGGGCGTTAAGAACACATTCACTCGACTCGTCCCCTTGCTACTTGTGTGGACCGAATCCTCATTCGTGACAGATGACGAAGTTACCTGAGCGACAGTAGCGGGGAGTCCCGTTGTGTTCACGGAAGCAGCAGCAGCAACGCTCTCGCCACTGGCAGCATGGACGTCCACACGTGGAGGTTGGGTTTCGGAATCATTTGTCGTCATCGTCATCGCCATCGTTGTTGACGGCTCCCTCTCACGTGAAAAATGACGTGGTAAAACAACGGAGGGATAATGAGAAGTGACTCGCGCAAGGCCCATGGAGATGTAACCATATACCACCTCTGTTTTCCGCAGCTCCTCCATGATGCCGGTCAGTACGACACTGTACGGCTGTATGAGCCGCTCCGTCAGACTCAAGCTTGGCGTGACAAGCCCCACATCTACACGAAAGACAAAGCACAACGTGTACCGCAGTGTCTTACGCTGATAGTGCAACCCCGCAATTTCCTCCGGGTAAAAGAGATACAAGAGACCAGACTCCGCCTCCATAAGATACATGACACGACGGCAAAACTCTGACCTCGGCACAAATACATCACTAAAGCCCCCAAGTCTATCCGCCGAGGTTGTCGTGTACGATGATGCATCGCATTTACAACTATTATCATGCCTCATCTTGCGCTTGCTGCCTGAATCGCCAGAACAAATCATGTTTTCCTTCTCGTGGCTGTTTTTGTTGTTGTCACGCGAGTGGGTGGTGGTGGTGGTGGTGTTGGCAGGCGTGGATGATGTAGGCTCCTGTGCGACAGGCACAAATGGGTTCAAAGGGGCATGGCAATGCAAGTACGGTCCCTTCACCACATCGAGTGCAATAAGCAAAACACTATGCAGAGAAAACATTCGGTAAACTAAATCACCAAGGCATACAAAAACCCACACAAGAGCTTACATGCAGGTGAATAAAACCACTAACAAACACACAAACACACACAAGAAAGAAAAATGTACAGGAAATATGATCCGTACATGTATGCACACATAAGCAGCAACGACAACAACAAAAAGGAAAATCAAAGAGGCAAATGCACGAATGCACACAAACACAAATATGCACGCATGGACAAGGAGCAAAAACACCCATACAACAAAAGACACAGAGAAGAAAAAGAAGCAAAAAAAACAAAACAAAAGGAAAATCCTTTGCGTGTTTTTTTTTTTACTTTCAAATGGCCACAATTCGTCCAATGCAAACAACGCAGAAAACAGAAAAAGAAATAAGAGGGAAAATCCACGCAACTGGAGAAGCCGTAAAATGAAAGAAAAAAAAAAA